TTTTTTTTGTGTGCGTGTGTGTGTGTGCTCAGAAACCGGTCCTGCCTCCAAAGATGTAATCTGCTTTGATCAGAAATGTTCTCCAACATGTTTCAGAGTGAAGAGAGAGAGACTATTAAAAATTAATAGCCTGCGTAGTGTTGAGATGAAAGGATAAAAGCCTTCATATGATGCATGTTGGAGGTGGGGAGGGCAGGAACACACACACACACACATACACAGATACACAGATATATAAATGTTTAAAAGCAGATCCGGTCGGAGCTGCAGCGAGGAAAACACCGTTCTGCTTCACCTGACCTGCCGCTACAGACACACTCTCCAATCAGCGTCTTTGTGCTTCTGATTGATCGAGGCAGAACAGGAGAGAGAGAGTAGGAAGAGGTTGATTACTCACCTGAATCATTTCACACACCCCCACACACACACACAATCCCAGTTAACCATTCATGTAAAAATCACTGAACAACGGCTGCAAAAGAACAGACATGAAAGATTAATAATCCGCCATATGCTGTTGGATGTTATATTGTTGTTGCTGCGTGTGGAGCAGAGACACGAGATGGATTCACGCTGCACTGCTTGTTAATGTGTCACTGCTTCACCTTCTTTCAAAGAGTTTAGTTGGTGCAGTGACGTCGTTTTATGATATAAATTAGCAATTTTCTGACCAAAACTAGACAGAAATTCAGAATTAAAGGAGTTTTATCCCAAAACAGCTCAACCTATGAAACAGAGCAAAAATTGTGAAATTTTCCCTCACAAGCCCAAAGTTGCGTCTTCAGGTGTCGTCTTTTGTCCGATCAAGTCCCCAAATATATTAATAATTTAAAAAGTATTATAAAGTAATAAAACTGAGAAAAGCAGCAGGAGTCATTTGGAAGCATTTTATTTTTTGCTTATTAAATCCGGAAGGATGAGAGGGACTCATGTACAACATCACAACTAGACAATTGACTGACTAATTGTTCAATCTGAGGTTTATTCATTAATTATCTACAATGAAACATAAATGTTTGAGGCAGATTAATTACATGTTCTTTAGACCGTGAAGCCGTTTTTCTGTCGCGTCTTGGACGAAAACTCCTCCGTGCTTTCAGTTATTTCAGTGTGTATAAATGTTGCTTTGTTAAAATGCTGGTTGTAATACTGTTTTTAAAATGAGTCGTGTTTGTTTGTGTTTTGTTGCAGATGTGATGGTGGGGATGGGCTACAACCTGGAGGAGATCCAGGACTCTCTGGCCAAGATGAAGTATGACGAGATCACAGCCACATACCTGCTGCTGGGCAGGAAGGCCTCTGAGGTACGACTGTTATCAGTTACATGGTTTAATTTAGGTGAATAAAGCGAAATTAATTAATAGAGATAAGATATTCTGTACAGTTGAAGCCCTATTTTCTGCCTAAAACACTTAAAAGCTGTTGATCTTACTATAAATCTGACTTCAGACTGGAGTTTAGACTAGAATTGAACAAACTACCCAGGAATACAGTACAGGTAATGACTGCTGTCCGAGTGCAGGCACGTATCTGTATGTTCTGACTCAGATCTGTCCGTCTGTCCCCCAGCTGGAGCCCAGTGAGTCGGCCTCCAGCAGCAACCTGTCTCTGGCCAAACCGAGACCCAACAGCGAGCTCAACGGACAGTCGCCCTCCCACCTCAAAGTCCAGAGGAGCGTCTCCTCCAACCACAAACAGAGACGTTACAGCGAGCAAGGTGAGGAGGACACAGCGTTTTATCTCCTCCTGTTTTAATCACATTGAAATAATCAAACACTGTTGAGTGTGAGCCCACAGCTCCAACTCCGTTGTGCCTTTCCTCCTAATAAAGGTTGCTTTCTGCCAGTAGCTTGTTGCCGGGCTGATAAAAAGCAGTTAAATCAAAGCAGCCACATTGTGGAGGCACTTTAACCTTTAGCTTATTTGCACAGCTCAGTGCTGTCCACTGTGATATAATGCTTTGTCAATATCCTCAGTTTGCACTGCTTCCTCTCCGTTAGAGCTTCAATAAGCTGCACTGAAAACCTTTTTAAACCTCCGGCTCTAACACAGCGATGCATGCACATTGTTGACCGTGTTTTTAAAGATGATCGTGGCATTTGTTATACAACAAAACATACGCTGATTGACTCATGAAGGACTTTTTTTATTGTTGTTTTTTATTATCAATGAAGCTGCTGATTATGTTGTTGATTAAAGGATTGTTGGGTAGTGAAAATAGTGTAAAATGACCATCAGAGTTCCCAAAGTTGAAGTCGATAAATGGAAATTGCGGGATACCAAAGATATTAATTTTAATGTCACATAAATCTGAGAAAACCAGCAAATATTCACATTTAACAAGCTGGAACCAGTGATTTTTCTTTTGTTTAATCAATTATCCAAATTGTTGTTGAATAATTTTCTGTTTATTTAAGGGGAAAAGGGCCTCAAGCTCATAATTCTGCATTAAAACAGACAAGAGAAAGATATTTTCTCCAACTATGAACTAAATCACTCTACTTTCTTTAAAAAACACCTTTAATGTGCAGCAGATTTAAGTTCTCAGTCACTTTGATTCAGTGTCAGAAATGTAGGTCGTTTCATTTTAGATGAAAACACTTTCAGTAGTAAGTTCAGTATTCGTTTCGCCAGAGGTACAAACACGTTTGAATCATCCGTCACTCATCCGTCACTCATCCGTCTCTGTTCCCTCTCTAGTCGGCCAGAACGTCCCTCCAGGGATGGCTCATCCAAAGAGGAGTCAGACCACCACAGCGGAGAACAGCACCAAGGAGGAAGGAGGAGTCCAGCTCCGTAAACCCAGCACCCCGGGGAGCCGCGGGGCGCCACCCTCCAGCCCTCTGTTGGGCAACGCCAACAACCCCAACAAGGCCGACATCCCTGACCGCAGGAAAGGCGCCACCACTGGCCCGAGCGTGAGTTACACGGCGACACGGCGACACAGCGGAGCTCACGGGCTCATTTATCTGTAGCGTCCTGGAGACAAACATCTAGGAAGGATCAATTAGGGCTAAAAACGAAAGATTTGAAAGACATTATACAGAACTCACATCAATAATACGATATTATAGATATAAGAGCTTCAAACTGCAAGTGAAATATGTGTCAGACTTTCCTGGAATCATTCAGTAGTTTAGTTTAACTTTGTTAACATTGAGTGAGTTTACGCTCCGTTTCCATCACAGATGGTTTTGTAGTGAGTATTTTATTTAGAGAAAAGACCAAGTTTGTGAATTTTATGACCTGAAAGACCTAAAACTTGTTAATATGGCCTAACTGTAACTCATCTTGTTTTAAACCCACTTTATTACAAATTATTTAGATTTTTTTATGTGCATATTTTATAGTCCTGGTGATTTAATTTCTATATTTTTTTTCTGATTTATATCTGAAGACTANNTTTTTTTTAATCAAATGTAATGCTTGAGTCAGACAGAAGGAATCAAGGAAACGTATTCATCATTATACAACACAATGCTGTGTAACAATTATATTTTTATGTGTGTGTAGCATCAAGAAACTACAAACTTTCTTCAAATGTATAGAATAATAATAGAATAAAACAATACATACAGTTATTTATATACATATATTCATACACGTATACAGTGAGATGGTGATAATGTGGATTCTGCTCTACAGAATAACACTGCGTCGGCAGGGATGACCCGGAGGAACACGTATGTCTGCAGTGACAGAAACAACACGGACCGCCTCTCCGTCATTCCCAATGGGAAGGAGAACAGGTGAGAGAGGATGTCTGTCGTCTTTGACCTGGTTTCTTCCCCTAAAAAAAAAAACTAAAAAAAAAACCTGCAGCAGTTCCTGTTTGAGCCGCTGCCTCTTCGTCAGTGAAGTACACGAAATATCATTAGTTCTTGGTTCCAGAGCAGTTTTTTTTAATGACATTATTGAGTTTGTGCATTTTTGTGGAACCTGTTATGGAAACTAGTGTGTTTTATTTAGTCAGTGCTTCCCTCTGCCAGTACTGTGGTCTAAGAGCTCTTTCAACCCAACAAGAATGCAAAACATGCTCATTATGAACACGAATGTGGTCGAATTCGTGGCTAGTAAATATGCATATTGGTAGGCTCAATATAAAAATATCAGTGTCAGCCTTCCAGCCTCATACTGGTTGAACTCTAATAGCAGCGTTTCACCACTTTGAGGCTCAGACTTCCTCCATTATTGTCAAAAGAAAATCCAGACAGGATCCCTAGAAAATGATTTCCTTTGTTTCATTCCCTCATTTTCTTTCTTTCTTGTATTTCTTTTCCCTTTTTCTCATCATCTTATTTTTCATTTCTGCCTGTTTGTTTGTGGTTCGGGGTGGTTCGGGTGGTTGGGGGGGTTGTTTTTCCGTTGTGGCATGACCAGCATGACTGAGATGGCTTGTGCCACTAGCCCCTCCTCTGCCTTTGCGGCCGCTGCGTTCGGTGCCTCGTCCAGTTCGGTGCGGCTGAGGTATCAAACCGTCGGCCCTTTGTACGTTTGCCAGGCAGGCTGGGCCACGCTGCCCCACTCCTACTACGCTCTGGACTACTGCTCGCCCAAGTAAGACGGCAGGGCCTCCAAACACCACCCCCCTGTCTGTCTCCTCTCATGTCTCAGCCCCTGTATGGCCCCTCGCTAACCCACACATCCAGCCAGCTTCACACTCTGTAACCTCACAAACTAAACCATGGGCATCCATTTCCTGCAGAGGACAGTAAGGAAAGTGTGCGTCCAACTTGTTTTTGTTGTCAGTGTCTGAAATCTGTGCTCATCAGGAAGAAGCAGGTAAAAAGAGAAGACTTGACGTATTGTCGGAGTGGAGAACAGGCACGATCCGTGATGGATTAATGGTTCTGTGTTCAGAATTTACAAACAGTGCTGAGCTGCTGTGATAAACTGCGATCAGAGCCAGTGCTGCACTCTGTATGTCCACACTGCAGGTAATAGAAAGGGCTTCATTACATGCTTCTGCAGCTGCTCTACAAACCACTTGACTGGTGCTTGACTCAAACCAAAACTAACCTGCTAAATGAGGTAGCTCTTCTAAAACCGTAAAGCATTTCGACCAAAAAACAACTTTTCAGGTTTGGAACTGGTTCACTAATTTAGACGTCCTTGTTTTGAACCGCCCTCCTTCACTTTACTCGTCCAAATGAGCTGAATATTCAGCCAAGACCTTGAAAATCTTATACAGAAAACTAAGCTACGCTTTCTGTACTTTATGTACTTTCAACACAACAAACTCTACATCCACCGCTCTCTTCCTGCAAAGGTCACCTCACCTCTCCTGAGATTTCAGACTTCTCCTTGAGCGGACTTAGGTTAAACACAGAGAGAAAGGAACAGAAAACTTTACATTTCTCTGTCGTGTTGTCAGACGCCTGTTAGTGGCAGAAACAAGCACTTTAATGGACGTATTTTGAGGGTCCACGATTACGTTGCAGCCTTGTTCCACGGCAGAAAGCTGCAGCTGTCTTCCTCAATACTCGACAGAAATGATCTCATCAAAATTCACAACACATTACCTGTTTGCTGTTTCTGTGCACAGTGTCAGGTACTGTGTGGAATAAAGGCTGCATCGTAATTAAAAGCTTGGATTATGGCACTGCAGTAGGACCGCGTTCAGACAAAGACCAAATCAACCAGACTAAACCAGGTTCAGGTTTTTAAAATCCAGTTTCTCAGCATTTTGGCATCTAATAGGCCTTTTTAATGTTGAATGAACTAAACTTCCCAGTTCATATTTGAGGGTTTCCCCCTGTTTTTGCACCAAAAACAAATCTTCCCTGCGGTCCCTGGTGTGTGCTGGTTTCAGACACTGACAAAAGCGGAGCCACAAGTAGAGAAAAATATATATCCTCACACTGAAATCAAGCTGCCACGAGGTCTTAAACTCTGTGTGTGATAATATTTTTCCATGTTTGCATCATCCCTCTGCCAGCCATGAACCGGAGGACCTCTGGTCTCCGCTGCAGACATTTGCAGTAACAAACTCTCACAGCTCCGCTCCTGATCTCTCCTCCATCCTCTGCTCTCAACTTTGACCCCTGATCTTCTCCGTCTGGATCTCTCACCTGCTGGTGTCCGACACGATGGCCGAGCTCCCCCGCTGTCCCAGCACCCCTCAGACCATCGTCTGTTTTTGTTTAGACTCTAACTGATCAGGGACTCGACTCACTCCTCTCATTGTACACGTTAGGAGCTTGATGTTCAGGGTGGGAAATTAACATCAACTGAATGCTGCTACATTTAAGTTACAGCTGTTCAATCTGTCCTCACTTCGGCTGTGTTTTATCATTGGCTGGTGAATTTATGCAAAACATTTCCAGACTTTTTTTCACTGGTGTGGCACAAGAGGGGCACTGACTAATGAGGGGTGGCATGAAGTATGTGTCTCAGCTTTCCAGTCATTCCCAATTTATGCAATTCCAACTCTGTTTATGGATCCCAAAATGCAGAAGTATTCAAATACAATGGGTGAAAATTACCACATTTATACTACATGTAAAGAAACTTGATTTTGCCCCAAAAATTGCATGAAATTAGTATAAAGTGGGCTTGACTGCAAAGGGGAGACTCGTGGTTACCCAAAGAACCCATTTTCATTCAGAGATCTTGAGGTCAGAGGTCATGGGATCCCTTTGACACCCCTGCCCACACTGACTGACTCTTGTTGTGTTTTGGTCCTGATTCCTCAGATATAGCCCGTTTGCACAGTTGGGGCCCAGGAACCATTTTAGTAACTGAGAAACTTTTTGTATGAGGGAGCCAGGGTCTAAGCTAGTCCACCTGTCAGTGTTTCTGGCCCCCAGTAGTCTCTGATCTTGGGCTTCCTGATGGACCAGGAACTATGGGAGCAGAGTTTTTAATGCTGTCTCAGCTTGGTTGAAGACGAACCTTAAAGTCATTCACACAGCAAACAAGACTAGTGTAAAGATGAAGAGAGAAAGCATGTGTCTGTGAGCGAACCACTGACGGAGAATAAACAGGTGAACGAGGGAAACAAAACTTAATCTCTTAATTGTCACAACGCAGTTAAATACTAAAGCAGGAATAAATAACTATACTTTAACGTCAGAGACTCATGTTCACCTCCTTCGTGACATCCGTTTAAATGTCAGAGTGGAACAACAGTAATTACAACAAACAACCCGATCATAAAGTGACAGCAGTGTTTTAATCTTAAGAAGGCAGAAATGTTTAAATTTAGGAGGCTTTTAGTTCCTCATTTAGTTTCTGTGGCTCTTTAAGTCTTTTCTCCTCCAGTCTGATCAGAGGACTTTTGTAAACAATCCACCAGCTAATGAGATTCAATCATTCATATTTAAATATATTTTTATGGTTTAATTTCCCACCCTGTTCACGTCTAACATGCAAGATTCATTTACCTAAAAGCCACGGCAATATTAGACATCCATGTAGAAATAACAAACTCATTTTATAAAGATAAGGAGGGAAATGTGATGTAGCTGTAAGAAGAAGTTTTTCCATTGCAGTCGTGTGATTGTGTCCTTTGACTTCACTGTAAACAGCTGAGCAGGTTTGGAGAGAAACCTCAAAATGAACAGAAGAACACGTCTGCAGTGGACAAACTTACCTGTTCTTGTGTTCAACCTCTCATTATATCTCAACTGTGTCCTCCTCCTCCTCCTCCTCGTTCAAAGTATCTGGCATGCATGAAAGTATCTCTTCATCACTCTCACACAGAACATCTTTAAACAATCACAGGACTAATAATTTACTGAGATTATCTGCTGTGTTACGCCTAAAGAACCAGTTCCCCGACCGTAACAAAGCTGTTCCTCTGTGGCAGGCATCCAGGCAGCGACACACACAAACAATTTAGACTCAAGAATAAATCACATCGTACAGGACAGTGAAGTTTCCCCCCCTACAGCATGTCATTTATCATCCTAACTCTACACGGCACTGCGCTGATTTGGTTTCTTAATCCGAACAGACAGAGTACGAGGATTACACTGTACAGAGCAGGGCTGGAGTTCACCTCCTGGTTCAGTCTCACATTAGAATTAGTGACAAAGCGAACATAAATGATTGTTTTAGATTAAACTGACTGAGCAGAAAGAGAAAAGCTAAATCTCCCCCCCCTCCCTCAAAAGAACTGCTTTACCAGGGTCCTCTCTACCTGCGGGTGAGTTTGGGAGGTGAGTTTGGAGAACAGGTTGCTGGTTCCACCGGCTGCGGGTCTGCGAGAGAGGGGTGGCGTCCGTGGGAGAGGTTGGCGAGGCGGCGGGCCGTTGTACGTGGCCGTGCGGCGGTCCCTCAGCTGCCCCCGTGGAAGGTGCGCGGCTGGCGGTGCCTCGCGGGAAGCGCAGCCGGTCGGCGTGGTGGCGTTGGCGATGCTGTGGATCGACGCCACCGGGTTCCTCTGGCTGCTGGGCGACACGGCGACGCTGCTGAGGTGGAGGAGGAGGAAAG